CCATTTCATGGCATAATAAATGGCTCGCAGACCGATACGAAAAACTTTTCCTCCGCGGCGAGTGATGAAGTAATGAAAGCGCTGAAAGAAAAATTACAATTCACGAGCGCAGCGCAGTTATGAACTTCTTCACGGTGCTAAATAATGCACACGAAAGTGCTCAGCCAGCCAGGGGTTAAGGTGGAGGGCGCTCCTTCATTAACTCCTCCAGCGCCGCCAGATGATGATGATGAATTTTATATAAAATGCTTAAATACCTGCAATTTAACTTTTGTCGGGTGTCGTCCATCTACCCCTTCTTTGTTCTCCAGCTTCCTTGATTCCTTAAGTCCCAGGAGGACTTGTCCTGGACATTTCAATATGCAGCTCCGCGTGCCTCCTTTAATTAGAGTAGACTTCTCCAGGGAAGGACACGGCTTTGTCGGGTCAGAAACTAATCAAAAAGCTATAAAAACTTTTTTATTCATGAGACTCGCTATAGGATTTTGTGGAATAATTCTGGCATTCCCGAATCCTTCTTTAAATTTTTAATACCATTCCGTTGGAGCTGCTTACAGCAACTGTCATTGCAATTGTGCATACAAGTACACATAATTAATTAAGGAACTGACATCTACCGCCTCTGGCAGGATCCCCAGCCCCGCTTTAAAGCCCCTTCCACGTCCTGCCATTGTCCTTTTCTTCGCGCAGTCATCACTCTTCTGGCGGTGGCCCCCTCGACCCATCCTCGTGCTAACTGAAATGTCAAAAATGCAAGTGACAAGTGTGAAAAAAGGACGAGCCAAGGAAAAACAAAAGCCAAATGAGGACACACATGGCCGAGGGTCTGGGGTGACTTTTCCACCAGATTTTCTGCTTTCCGTCCAAGTGTCGGGGTGGAGTATCATTGTCTGCTTGAAGACGCTGCGCGTTCGTGCAAAGCAAAATAAATTGAAATTTTAAAATGTATGAAATTAATTTTTGGCGTCGGTGACTGGGCTAAAAAGCCAGTGGTAGACGCTCGCTCCAACGCCTCAGATGATATCACATGATTATTTATCTTTTACGCACACTTACACTTTGCACGACACATATGCAAAGGACGGTTGGGTTCTGGCTCAGTCCTCGTCCTGGTCCTTTTCCTTTTGCAAGTCTTTTTGCTGATCCTGGGCCTGACACTTGCCAACACACTTTGTCAAGTTTTTAGTATGTTGTCAGCTTTTCCCAGTCCCCTCTATCCAGTGCCTTGCTTTTTTGTCTTAGCCCTTTTAAGCCATTTGTCAAACACTTGGCATGACGTCATGTGTGGGTGGAGTTCCTCGAGTCGTTAAAGGGTATTTATCACTTCGATTTGGGCTTTCAGCTGTCTCGGTTGTTGTGCAAAAATTTACATATAGATTAGCAAAAGAACAGACACACCAACCGGCACTTGTGATGTAAGCCTTCAATGCACTTTGCTCGCTTCTCGACCGGTGATGATGATGTCTGCAATCCATAAGTGGAAATCATTAAGAGCCCGGCCACATCTTGTAAACCGGTGCGTAATCCTGCTGTACCAACAGAACACATCCATGCACTTGTAAAAAGTTTTAGAAATTTATAAAAAATAAAATATTTACTTTAAGGGCATAATGGAAAGCTGTGTCTATCGGCTTCAGGTCTGACCTCGGGAATTCTAGTATTTTAAGCAAGGATAATATATTTTTCTTCAAGTGCATGGTCAATTGTTTACAGAACAGAACTCGCAGCTCGGGCATTGTTGCCGTTTCCGTTCCAGTTCTCTCTTTCTCTGGAGCTCATTGTCTATGGGTTGGCTGGAAATCCCCTGACAACACTTTGGCCCTTTCACATTGTGCAAAAAGAAAATTTCTGCGAGCAATCCTTGAACAATGCATGAAATAATTGCACAGACCGGACTGCAGAGCTGCGTTGAGGGCCGCGCAGAGGTCCTTTCGGGGGACATAATGACGGGCCTCTGGATATTGGCCGATGATGGGCATTAAAACGCGTATGATGAGGCTTAAGTAGTTACACACACACACACAATTGGGACTCTTTAGGTATGTGTCCTGGAAAAGGACTCGTTGGGGTTTAAGTGATGCTAACATATTGTTCATACAGGCACAAGGGTTAGGGGAGTGCTTCCTCGGAGATGATATTTCTTCACGATGATTACTATGTCTGCATATTGCTAAATGAAAATCTCCATCAGGAATTATCAATGATGATATAGGGTTGGGGTGAAATGATTCACGGACGATGGGCAAGGTGAATGCGGCATTAAGGCACCTTATCACCTTGTGGGGTCCAAAAAATCGATTTTTTTTTTTTTGTCTTATCGTGTAGATATATGTTCCAAAAATGTGCTGTAAAAGTTTCAGATCGAAATCTGAAAAATTTCGAAAGTTATAGCCCGTTACATAGAGCACTGTCGAGCACCTGCCGAGCGCGTTTAAAACTTTAAACGCGTTTTTCTCAGAACCATGTTTTTGGACCTTACGTGCAGGATTAAAGACGCTACAATGAACCAATCGTCACCAAATTTTTTTAAAAATGTTCCTTAGGGTTTTTTCTAACAAATGACCCGTGACCAGCCAAAAATATTGGAAATTGTTTATTTAAAAAAATAATCAGTACAGAAAAAAATGCGAAAATTGACATTTTTTTTTCAAAACCTCATAACTTTTGGAATTTTGATTTTTTTTTCATGATAGAGGGTCATTTGATAGATGATACGATACTAATTAAGAATGTGTTCGGTTTTTTTGTTTCAGATCACGGGTTCTCAGCCAATCCTGCACGGGAGCAAAATGCATGCCGCCACCAATGGGCGCCCCCTCCCTCCCCTTTTTGGATTTTTTCAAGTTCAAAATTTGTATTCTTTGAATAAATATATGTTTATATTCTGACGAAAATTTCAGCGCTGTATCTTTAACCGTTTTCTCAAAAAAAATTCCTAAAAAAAGAGCACTTTTTGACCCCACAAGGTGATAAGGTGCCTTAATGGATTAACATCTGTCATGATATACTCCGGGGAATATAGATACATATATTGCTTGATGAATTAGCTAACAGGTATGTTGGCCAATCATACTTATAAAGCGAAAGGATAAGCTTCATATTTTAATTCATCAGTTGCGAATATTCTGTTTAAATCCTAATGGAGCAGAACTATTAAAAACTGGTTAGCAAAATATCCCTAATATTCTTTTTTAAGACTTGCCACCTCATTAGCTGCCAACGGCGAAAATACCCATCCATTTCTGCCAACTTTTTTTTCCAACCGCACGCACAGACCCTCCCAGTTGGGAAAATCGATATCCTGCGACCTTGAGCTTGACATACACTTACACACCCAAACACAACCAACTGATTGTAAAGAGCACGTGCTGTCAACTGTGTCAAGAGCTCGCCCGGAGCCACCCACACTTTCTTGGAGGAGCTGCGCTCCCTAAACTCTCAAGGTCGCACGCACAAAAAGGGAGAGAAAAAGCTGAAAAAAAAGAAAAGGATGTGGGAGATGGGAAAAGCATGGCAACAAATGCCGGCCGGCGTGACCTTGACGCAAATTGAGTGAGGAAAAAGCTTTTGCCGGTAGGAGTCCTGCGGAGGAGCACTCACAAATGGCAGCTCGTCCGTATCCTTGGCCGTGGCCTTGAAACTTTGTTAGAGCTCTCCCCAATCACTAACAAGAGGGTGGAGGAAATATGCTCAATTGGCATTCTACATTTTGCTCCCTACGAGTCCTTTTCTAAAATGTTACAACTTTTATGGCATTTATTGAGCATGAGAACAGTGAAGGCGATGGAATCGATGGAGAGGGGTATCCTATATTTAATAAATATTATGGAGTATTATGATTAAATGAGAAATTAAATGTTTTGTTATTATGTTTTGTTAAAATATATATTTTTAGTATAAAACTTAATCATATAATTATTGCTGATTCTTTTATTTCAAACTAACAAAATAAAAAAAAATATTTTTTTAGAAATGTGCATCCCTTAAAAGACATTAGCAGATTCCTGCCACTGCTTTTTGCTCCACAAACTATCCCGGAACAGCTTATCGTAATGGATGAGCTGCAGTTTTCTGAGAAAAAAGGGGAGCTAAAAAGCTATAGAATCAAACACTTTTCAAGGTTAAAATTGTAGTCAGCGGGAGCTACAATGGAAGTGATTTAAATTGAAGGTCAAGTCGTGAGAAGTCCTTAGGGTTGGTCAAGTTTAAGGTTGCTTGGGGGAATATTCCTGACTTAAGTTGGTTAAGGTAACATTTTAAGGATGTGTGTTAAAGGTTTGTGAGTTGAAGGTTTCTTGTTTGATTTAGTTGAAGGTTTAAGAGTATATTGATATGAATATTTACTTTACAATTTAGTTTACGAATACGTTTCTTGGGCAAACTCAGTGGATTACTTTTGTAATACCCTTTCAAATATATTTTCCATGTAAACGAAGGGAATACCTGGAAAACAATTGTTGATTCATCGGCATAGAACCAGAAAATAATCCAAAACCCAGTTCGAATTTCGAAAAAGAATAACTTGAACCAGATTTCCCCTCTTACCAGACCAAGTAAGTAAAAGTCAACCCCTGGAGTACAATTTCGAAAGCGAACCACCCCTCGAAAAAGTAAGCTTACGTTAAATTCGACGTAAGACCACTACGTAAAACATTTTCCCCATTTTCTCTCACATTTTCCGGGTCTCTCTCTGGCTCTCTCTTTTGGGAGCATAGCTTCCCCCTCGAGAATACGGAGCAAAGGTAACAAAGGCAGCCGTGTTCTTTGGGGTGGCACTCCCGGTGGTTGTGGCGGTGGTGGCGTTTCGGCGGTGGTGTGAGGCCTGTGGTTGGTGGTTCAATTGGTTGGTTGTTGGCATAAACAAAGCACACACACAACGCGCACTCCGCGGGGTGGTGGAACACCGAACGAGAGAGAGGTCGCGCTTCCTACAGGAACAGAGAGCTGGCAGCTATTTTATAAATGTGACTGCGGCAAGGATATTTGCAGTCAGTCCATGCTGAAGCCTCAACCAGAGAACATTGAATAATAAGCGGAAGCGAAAAACGCACAACCAGAAAAAGTTCGTCCCCAAAAAGCGACAAGTTTTCCTCGTACGTTTTCCCGCCAAATGAGTCACAGAAAATTCATAAAGTGTTTGAACAGAGAAATAAAGACTTGAAGGAAATCTAAGTGCAAATAGTGATTCCAAGCAAAGAACAATTTTTATTTAAAAAAATAAAAACAAAACATTAAAAAATAAATATACAAAATTTAAACATTCAAACTCAAATTTTGTATAAAAACATCAACAATGGCCATTGCCTATTACATACCCGATCAGGCCCAGTTGTTGGCCAGAAGCAATCAGCAAAGTGCCCAGAATCAAAGGACAACAGCAACACCTGCCGCAGCGCCACAGCAACCTCAACAGGCGCAACAGCAGCAACACCAACAACACCGGCAGCAACAGCCACAACGTCCTCACTTTCGTGCCAACATTTCGGTGCCTTTGGGAAGACAGCAGGGGGCCATGACGATGTCGGAGTTCGGCTGCTGGGACCTTCTGGCCCAGATCTTCTGCTACGCCCTGAGAATCTACAGCTACAATTCCAGCCAGCGACGGCCGACGGTCATACAAATATCCTTCGAAATCAGCAGTGGGAGCCAGAGTCAGGACGATGAGGATGTTACCGATGCCCCCTCGAAAGGAAACTAAATTTGCGTTCCATTTCACTTTTTGGGAGGAATGAAAAGTCGAGAAATTTTCATGGAAAGGCAGGCTCAATCAAAGCGCATTGTGATTTCTTTTTTGGGTATGGACATGAACAGAAAGGGTTTTTGTAAAAAAAATGGATATTTCCAAACAAGAAAATAAGAAAAATATTTTTAAAACTATTTTTGAGAGATAAAGAGGAAAATTCAAAATTTGTCATCGACTTGCTGAAAGTGATATTGATTGTTGGTTACTTTTTTGGGTGTCAAATTTTCCGTTTTCAGTTCAGCGGAGAAAATGTTTAATTTTGCAAGCAAAGGTTTCCCGGTTGGTTCAGCATTATTTTCGAGATCCGAGCAAGAGACGATTCAGTAAATATTTATAATTATCATAAACCTAATCAGTGTCTATACATATGAGTAAAACCACAAATATCGTATTCAAGTAAAAACTAATTGTCAAATTTTAGCATTTCACCTATTAACATAAATGGTAAATAAAACGTAAACTTACAAATACAGAACTTCAGTACAGAACCAAGAAATGCAGCCAGAATAAGCCAGAACAACAAATGACAACAACTCAATTGTACAAAATAGATTTTAAGCAAACAACAATTTTATATGTTTACAAAAAAAAATAAAATACATATACAAAATGTCAATAATCTAGCTACAGAAAATAAAATACAAAAGAACCGCCGAACCACTAAAAAATCCAGAATTAAGCAACAAAAAAAAAACTTTACGCAGTTTTGATACAAATAACGAATAAACAAAATTTCGAAATATATTTTAACATTATTAATGATTTTAGCAAAATTACAAAATTATTATTTCCTCTTTGGCATTGCAAATTAAACTAAACATAAATTAATCAAATGTAAAATTTAAACATTTGTAAGCAATTGAATCTTTTTTATATAAGGAAAATAAGAAAAAAATAAATACAATTTTATAAAAAAAGCAACTTTGTCTTGATATTTTATTAAATTTTCAGATGGGGAAGGGGCCTGGCAGTCTTGTCCGAAGCTTTGAAAGAAACTTACCCCTTTCTAGTTAAACCCTCTGCAATAGTTAACCCTTTGAGCAGTCAAATGGCAAAGGACACCTCGTTCCCTCACAAAAAAAACGACGAGGAGGAGTAAGCAAACATTTAGTGATCTTTATCGGAAAAACCAATATGTCACCTTGAAAAGGGAAAACACTTTCCATCTAAACGCGAGCGTTCTGGGAATTTTCCTGTTGTGTCATGCCAGGCACACTTTGGCCAGGAAGGGTTAAAAACCAAAGGTTACGCTTAACCGCAGATCTCAGTCTGTGGCTAGATTGTCCAAGTCATCGGGGTCGCAAATACCGGGGGTGTACCCCTTTAACGAAGCCTTTGACGAAAAAACTAAGAACCCATTTAACCCCGGGAGCGAAAAAAAGTGTAACATCTGTGGCAGCGAGCGATCAGGAGTGCCCGATAAGGTCGCCAGTCAAATAATAATTATGCAAACATTTCGGGTCGCTAATTTGCCGCCTATCTTAATTTAAATCGCTCAAAAGCGCACTGGAACCAGGGCTAAAAAAAAATTTGTTTAATTGTCGTGACATGACAATAAGCGTCCTGGAAATTAGGGTCCTTGGCTGTCCTTTTTTTCGCGTGTGGTTTTCGTGTGGCTTGATTTGTTGGCGTTGATAAGCGAGGGGAAAATTATAGGGTATGCAAATGCTCTTATATTGCCAGTCGCGTGTCCTGGATCGGGTAATTCGCTCGGCTTTGTCTTTAGAATTCCGGTTTCGCGCCTGCAATTATGCTCGAGAAGTAGACAGTTTATGATAACATATTTCTGGTTAATTTGGTTAAATTGGTAGCACACATGCTGACCTGATCGGAGATCGGAGATAGCCAGGTGGGAACTGCAAATGGGTGGAAATACTATCGAGTCACAGGTTGTTATGGGCCAAAGAATAATGGGTTTATTAATTACTGGATGTTTGATTTGAATCCACCAAGCTAAGCAACCAAATGTTGACGTCAACAAATCATATCGAATTTTCAAATAAAATTTTAGGTAAGAGCCAGACGCCTTGTGTGTCACTTGGCTCAAGGATTTCGATTTGAGAACCATTATGACCTCTTCGGATAACAACACCGAGGATAATGCCGGTTACTTGAGTGACGACCCTGAGGACGAGGAGAACAGGAGGATTCTGAATTCGATGGAGAGCATGGGCGATATCCACCAAACCTACAAGTCCAAGAGTGCCCAACAATTGCGTACCCACCCAGTGGCTGTCGAAAGTTGTGACACCCATCAACAAAAGGCCAAATCGATTTTATCAGCCACTTGTTCAAGTTCACGATCGGAGGAAAAAAAGTGTGACACCAATTTAGAAAGCGATTTAAGTTCCTTCCTCAAACATACGAGTCTGCATTAGTGAGTTTGAATCCAGAGTGTTGGTTGTTAGATACTTTCCTTATATCTGTGCCCCACAGCTCACATATTCGCATTTCATCGGGTCAAGAAGGGCAAGAGACCAGCCAGGCCATGAATTATGGAAATTACAGCTTCAGTGAGTGGGAGTGGTTAAATAAATATTATTTGTACTTCTGTTATCCTATTTCTCCTCAGATGCAGCTAGTGAGCCTTGCTGTAGCTGGCAATCAGCTGTGACTCAACAACAGGCTCCCACTTTAAATGAGACTGTTTCTTCTGCCGACGAAGTCATTCAAAATGGAGGATACTACACAAACTATGGGCCATCGCTGCCGGAATGTAGTTCGGCATCTAATGAGACGATCGTGAATCAGCCCACTATGTGTGCGGCGCCCACCGCTCCAAGTATGGAGACTCCGAGTTGCTCTCTGGAATCAGGATGCTGCTGCAGTTCAATGAGGCCAACTGAGCAGCCACCGGCCGAGTACTCCGGCCAACAGCAAAACGTCTACCAAGGTCACCAGTCCACAAGTGTGGACCCCTCAACAGGAATGGCCTACTACGTTTATCCTGGAAATGGCATGTACCCCGCAACAGCCATGGGAATGAATCAGTCCCAAAATCAATATACTAATCAGCACGGCGGTCAATATACTGGAGGAGGTGTCAGTAATGCTATGACGGCTGGTCCTTCTACCACTCAGGGTTCCAATGCTGGCTATGATATGGATGCTTTTATGCGAAAATACCAGCAAAGTGTTCAACAATGTTATGCCACGGCCCAGCAAGGTAAACAAAATAACTGGCTACTTCGCAAATATTTTTTTAAAATTAATTTTGAAAACAGGACTTCAGCAGACCTTTGCACAAGTTAATTCTCAATATCAGCCTTATTTGAATAGTTATGGCCAGGGTGCTCAACCATATTACGTAAATCCCATTCAAGGTAATATTAAATTTATTTTTTTAATTATTAAAATCATCTTTTTTTCCCAAAACCACTAAAGCTCCACCACCAGCTTATATGCAGGGATCTGCTAATCAAGGTAGGGTATCCGTTTTATCAAAATTTTATAATTCCAATTTGTTTTTTTTCAGCATCTCAACAATTTTATGGAAACACCAGCCAAGGTTTTCTAATATTTTTATTTTTTCCTAATAGTCTATTAACTAAAGATATTTTTCAGAAGCTCAACAACCTTTTAGCTTTCAGGGAATGCCGCAAGCATTTAGTGTTCCTCTTGGTGATCAAGCGTATTTTTCTCCCATGGGTGCTCAACAGTTTTATTCCAGCTCTAGTATAAGTATTTTAAAAAATCTATCTTAGAATATTTGTAATTTTTTTGTATTTGCTTTGTTTTTAGGTGCTCAGTCATACTATCCACCAACGATGTCGATGCCTGCTTCAAGTTACTTTGGGGCCGGTGGCGGCTTCGGGAGTGACAGACTTCAGACCCAAACAGTATACTCATCGGATTACAAGCCCTACTGCACTGATGGCAACCATTTCAACCACTTTCCCAATGGCAAGGACATCGGCTTGTCCCCCGAATCCTGTCCCGGCTATAGTCCAGTGGGAACCGCTGGACTGGCCGAGATGAGCGCCGGAGGTCAGGTCTATGGCATGGGAGGTGGCTACGAAATGGATGCGGGTTCCTATCCGTTGAGTCACATGGGGTAACAACTTCTATCTTTCTTAAAGTATACAAACTAGAATAAATTTCCTATTTCTTTTCTAGTTATTCAGGTTCTTATAATTTCGATATGCCACCTTTATCGGCTGGCTATACTCAAGCTCCAGGAGTGGCCATGGTCAGTCCTAATGTTTCTAATAACACTCCAAGCGGGAATCCTAGTAAGTAATTGTGGATAAAATTGAATAATATATTTAATTCAATTTATTATTCTTTAATTAAAGCACAAAGCTAAAAATGCAAGCATAGAAGACACAAGATTGGAGAAAACATCGCTTAAGTTTTGGAAATATTGTAAAATTAATAAAAAATAGTGTAGTTTAAAATTATTGGCTCATGCTTTGTTAATGCTAATGTAATTCCTTTACTTAGAAATAGCCATTCAGCGGCACTAAGCTCTCTTTGCAATAACAATAGACTCTGACCAGAGTGACTCAGACCGAGTTCCACCCACCCAGAACCTGAACTTCGCATGGCATGCACTTTAAGTCAAAGCTAATTACAGTGAGCCAGTCTATTGATTTTAGCCGTAAAGTACACTAACCCGAGAAGGAACCCTCGCATAGAATAAACAAATGGGAGACATCAGTGACCCACTTTTCTGGGCAAAACTACAGTTGAAAAGGCTGAAAAAGTGGCACGGGGGGAAAAGTGGCAAAAGTGGAAAAGGGCCAGGCAAACAAACGCCCCCAAATGCGAAAAGTCTGAAAGTGGAGCGAAAGTGAAACGCAATATGACCACAAACGAAGATGGCCAAGATGGTAGGGGATGGCTAGAACATATCCACTCGGCTTGGCCAGGAAAAAGAGTCAAATCAAATATCAAAGTGCCGACAAAGAAAGCCCGACAGACCAGTTAATTGTTTGATGTTAAAGACCAAGTTGAAGAGAACTTGAGCGAAGTTAAGTAAAGCCTTCTTGGGATTCTTTTGGATTGACATTTACTGACTGCATGTTCATTAATCTCATGATTCATTGCCCGGACTCCGATCTCCGAACTCCGTACTTCCAATTGAAAACGCTAAACTCAAAAAACGTGTGTCAACACCCACAAAACCACAGGAGGTTGTCTTGGGTTCACAAACAAAACGCCAAAGAATTTCCCGATTTCCAATGATTTATTTTTACGAGGCAACACCTTAAATTTGTAGAAAAACGAAGTGCCTTCTATATGTAACTCCTTCAGTCTCCGAATATGATTAATTGACCGAAATGGAATTTGTTTCTGACCAGCGATTTGAACACAATTGCGCTTCATTATCGGTATTTTGGCCAGTGACCATCAGCGGCAGTCAATTTCAGGTCGACAGTCTGGTTTCTGTTTTCCGATTCCACTTACCCACAGCTACATTGAAAGGAATACCTAAGGCTTGTTGCGGAGCTACTAAATACATTTCACTTCTATCTATTTAAAAATTTGGTCTACACTTTTTCCACTATTTTTCCAAGTGTCCATTTCCCGGGTGTTGTTGTCAATGTCCTGCTGAGCTATTATTTGTCTTGTGTGCGAGACTCTGGCTTGGTTGAAATTGCTTTACGCCACTTTTGGGTCATTAACAAAATTGAAAATAGAGACGGACATAAGGAGAGTGTTTGCGTGGGGTGAGGATGTCGAGGAACTTGGAAAACGTAGACCACCGGGCTCCCATTAAATCAGTGCCACCTTTTTATGGTAGTTGGCCAATCATTAGACACCAACCGCGCCACAACAGTTGGCCGTCCGATGGAGGTTTCCAAAACCCCCTGCTTGTCTTTGAGCATATGGTGGCTAGGGACTTCTATTTATCACTTAAGGTGTTGGAAATCTAAATGGCAAATAAGTATATAATTAGTTTTTTAAAAACAAAACAAAAAAGTAGGTAATCAAGAATGTCCTAAAATATAACCCTTTTCCAAGCCAACATCTCAATCGAAACAAGATTATTAGAGAGTCTTATCCCATCCACGAGTGTGGCTCACTTCCTACTCGGGGATAAAGCTATATAATTTAATCAAGGGCACGATTCCAAGTAGGTAGGCCCTCAGACAAGACAATAAAAAGGAGCGGAAGGCGAAAAGGGATCACCGTGGCCGCGATTTCCTTTCACATTGAAGAAAGGACACGAAATCAAAGCGTAACAAATTTGCCGGTCAGGACTTTCACTCCGAAAAGAAAGGGCCACGGACTGGAAGGCACGCACGTGACTTCAGAGGCCACGTCCTTTTGTTTGGATTGAAAGCCGATTATGTCCAGGATAGAAGCCAGGCAGAGGCATTTTCACTTCATTATTATGAGTTATGATGTGCGGACTGCCGGCTGGTCAAGCTGGTCCTCAGACAATTATGTCACCCCGGGCGAAAGTTATTAGTTATCCTCCATGCAAATTGATTTGTTGTCTCTCCATCGATACCGCCTGACATCTGAAGGGTGTAACTAATTGGGATCGGCGAACAGGACACGCGTCGCCATCGGATCAAAGGCAGGGGATGAAGGGAGGCTGTGGAGATCGGTCCCATGCAAATCCTACTATTCAATAGATGTGCTTGGACATAGGTCAATCGTTTCCACTTAGTCAAATTTCAATGCCTGTCGATGGCTGCTTAGCCTGGGAACATTTATCCCGAATCGGTATTCGATTTTTTCTGCCACTCACTGGGAAATTGGAAAAGGAAAGTATGGTAATTGCAACTGTCTAGTCTATGAATATTCTATGTAGTATTCAGAATAATTCATTTACAAATATTGGTTTATTTTAACTCATTTATTCTTTCTCTAATAAAATAATTCTTCTCTCACGGCTGTCAGTTTTCATAAAATTTTTAAAGATATTTCCACTACATAAATTCTTAAATCTTTTAAACGGATATAGTTACATTTGAACCCCCTTCGCTAAATGGCAATGTCTGGGCGTTACAAATGACGACAAATTACACACACCAACTGCTGGGCCTGTGTCTTCGGTCGGGTATTTACAAGAAATTTGCAAACAATATTGATTTCGAAGCGATCAAAATAAAAATTAATCAATGCACTTAAAAATTTCAAAAGACGCACATGGGTAAGCGAGTCCAATGGCGCGGAAAAGGGAAAGGGATCGGAGGGAAACCCTTTTTTTATGAGGCCAACCCTCTCGGGTGACTTTAAAGTGCTCGAAAGGAACTTAACTAATTTATAACTTATGACTGCACGGGTACGGACAATTTTCCATGCCACTACAAAGCGGAGCAAAAAGCCAAAATTTGACATGAGTAGCGGTCGCATAACCCCTCTTCAAAACAGGGGGAAAAAAACTTAAAAGTAAACCCTCAGTCGGGACATGTGAGTGTGCACATGTCAGCAAGCGAATTAATCGAAGAGAAATGATTTATTTAGCGCTCGGACAGCGGCAAAGGGTTAATATTCAATGCAACCCCTCCAGCCAATTCCAATTCGCACCCAAATCAAGTTTAAACTGTTTTCCAAACTGCACCGGGGAGTGGTTTCGGCGCCTCTTGTTGCTTCATTGATGGGCATTTATTGGTTTCTAGGGGTTGTAATTCCTGCATTTCCTCTAAAATTTACCTTTTTTTTTGAGCCCACTGCACTTTTTTATCCGCAAAATTCACACTGCAATTTTTATTGTATTTCTGGGAGGGATTCTTACTTTTTAATGTTTTGAGTTGCTTCCTTCAAAATATTTATTACCTTGTGATTTGTATGGGAATCCTCGGTGTTTTGATTGATTTCGGCGGAGTGGATGTTATGACGCACTCAATTTGCCATAAATTTGCTTCAATTAATAAAAAAAAAAGAAAAAAATATAAAATTAAAGGTTTTTTATGAGTGTGGGAAAGTTTTTTTCAAGGATATGAAGGGATACTGCAGAACATAGGGATGGCTTGCCACAATAAAATAGTATGTATTCTTAAGATAGAAGTAAAAATAGGTATAGGACTCTCTTTCCCTGAGTAATCAAAAATTTGTTGTAAATTTTAGAAGTTGGAGTGGAAAAAAAGATGTCGTCCCCAAAATTAGACAACAAGGTGCTGCAGACCATGAGGGACATGGCCCAGAAGCTGCGGATCCACTCGATCACCTCCACCCAGGCAGCCAACTCGGGCCACCCCACCTCGTGCGCCTCGCTGGCGGAGATCATGGTGGTGCTGTTCTTCCACCAGATGAAACTGACCCTAAGGCATCCCCGAGATCCGTCCAGCGATCGTCTGGTGCTCTCCAAGGGCCACGCTGCTCCCATTTTGTACGCTGCCTGGGCGGAGGCCGGCCTGTTTCCGGTGGAGGAGCTGCGCAACCTCCGGAAGGTGGACAGCGACCTGGAGGGTCATCCTACGCCGCGGTTGAACTTTATCGACGTGAGCACGGGTTCCCTGGGACAGGGTCTCGCAGTGGCAGCTGGAATGGCATACGTTGGCAAATATCTGGACAAGGCCGATTACCGGACCTATGTGATCGTTGGCGATGGCGAAATGTCCGAGGGCAGTGTTTGGGAGTCTTTGCACTTTGCCGCCCACTATTGTCTAGACAACCTCTGTGTGATTTTCGATGTGAACAAGCTGGGAGTGTTGGATGTATTCGCGGAAATGGAGAACCTACGGGAGAGGCTGGAGGCCTTTGGGTTTCATGCTTTGGTTCTGAATGGCCACGACTTTGACGAGCTAATCAAGGGATTTCACAATGCGGCCAACACCAAGGATAGGCCCACGGCTTTGCTGGCCAGGACCATTAAGGGCAAGGACTTCCTGGGAATCGAGGGCTGCGACGAGATGCACGGACAGATCCTGGGATCAAAGGCCGTGGCAGTGATCAAGCGCCTCCAGGTAATATTTAAAATATAACATCAATGCCAACCACTACATCCTTTTCTATTTCCCCATAGGCTATGATCTCCAATCCGAATGCTCGTTTAATTCCCAAGAAGGTTGACAAATGTGGCCGCGCCCCAGAGGTCGAAATTACAAACATAATGCTATGTGCTCCGCCCGACTATCGCCTAGGAGATTCGATCTCCACTCGCCAGGCCTATGGCTCCGCTCTGGCCAAGATTGCAGCCAACAATTCCCGGGTGATTGCCCTCGATGGCGATACAAAAAACGCCACATATGCGGATAAGTTGAGGAACGCCTTTCCCGAGCGGTTCATCGAGTGCTTCATAGCCCAGCAAAACTTGGTGGGCGTGGCATTGGGAGCCACGTGTCGGCGCCGCACCGTAGCTTTTGTTTCCACCTATGCCGCCTTCTTCACCCGGGCCTTCGATCAGATCCGCATGGGCGCCATATCCCACACGAACGTGAACTTTGCCGGCTCGCATTGCGGCTGCAGCATCGGAGAGGATGGACCTTCGCAAATGGGCCTGGAGGACATGGCCATGTTCCGCAGCATTCCCGGAAGCACAGTTTTTTATCCCACAGATGCTGTGAGCACGGAAAGGGCTGTGGAGTTGGCGGCCAACACCCAGGGCGTCTGCTTCATACGCATCACTTATCCGTGCACCACTGTGATCTACAACAACGACGAAAAATTCGCCGTAGGATTGGCCAAAATTATCCGACAGAAGCCCTCGGACGAGTTGCTGCTCATTGGGGCAGGGGTCACGTTGTACGAGTGCTTGGAGGCTGCCGAGCAATTGGAGGAGGAATGCGTCACCGCCCGGGTGCTGGATCCCTTCACGGTGAAGCCACTCGATGTTAGGCTGATCATCAAACACGGCAAAATGTGCGGTGGGAGGATCTTGGTGGTGGAGGATCACTACCAGCAGGGCGGACTTGGGGAGGCGGTGCTCAGCGCCGTGGCTGACTACCGAAATTTTGTTGTTAAACATCTATATGTACCCACTGTGCCCAGATCCGGGCCTCCAGCCATACTGCTCGACATGTTCGGCATCTCCTCCCGTAACATCGTGAAAGCCAGCATGGCTCTCCTGAAAAAGTGAAAGCCTGCTCCTTGGGGTCGATTTTGTAGTTTTTTATAATTATGCCAAAATTTTAAGTATACTAATTTTATTAATAGAGTTTTAAAGTATCTATTTTAAAAGTAACCTATGACTAATCAAGAAAAGCTTGTTCCCCAAACGAATGCTTTAAATTCAAAGTTTCGATGTCCTGGAAATTACATATGTATTTTCCTATTTAATAATCCCAATTTATAAAAGATAAGTTTTTATTAATTTTGAGTATTATATTAACACATTTTTTATAATTCTTTATTTTATAATTTTTTTTAAGGCTAACAACTTAACCCTTTTTAGAGCGTCCTGGCATGGTTGACCCTCGATTTACAGCCTGATTTCTGTTGTTCTACCTGAACTAATAAGCGTGCAACGTTAAACTCGCTTCAAGCCACCGAAACTCGAGGAGAAATTGCATTTGGTGAAACTCAATTGGGTGGAACTAATTTTAGGACTTTACAGGCCTAAAAGGATCATTGTCGTTGCGTTGGCGGTGGTTTCGATTTCGATTTCGTTCACGATTTTGATTTTGACATATTTATTTGGAGCGACAATAGAGTGACCCTTTTGCAGAGGCGCAACCAATTGTAGTTTCCCCATCTCCTGGTAGGTGATAAATTTTTGTTTGCGGCATGAAGGACTTCCGTTTATGGGGTTTTCAATTTCTGGCTACCGCTTGGAGAGGGTTTAGATTGATTTTCATGATAGAACTCTCTTCATGATACATTTTTCTTTCAAAATAGAGGTATTTCAAAGTCGAGACAATCCCCTTGATGGTCACTTGTTATCCATCGCCTGGCCAAGGGTCACTTTAAATGATCCCTAATGACATCCGTTGGTCAGACAATTCATCTAACGTGGCATTCATCCATTTATTCATCTGCCTCCGTAACAAAAGACATGGGTCCATTTATTGTTTTTTCCTTCCTAATCAGTACATTATATTGTTTGCTTGGTTAGTGCCAAGAGGGCCGAACAGGATGTGCGTGTGTGTGGTTAAGGGTTGGCCAAGTGGACAAAGTATCCCTTCCGATTCGATCAAAATTTACGATAAATGCTTTTAAAATTCTATGCACCTCAACTGCACAATGAATGGAACAGATAGCAGTCAAGTTTTTCATTTTCTGTTAAGTGAGCATGCCTAACTAGATTTGTTAAAGATCATAAATTCCACATGAAAATAGATTAGATGACATCATATGTGGAGTTCCTTTTGTTCCTTCCACACATGTGAAGGAGTTGGATATGTGTCTCGTATTTTTGGGGGTTAGATTTATGAAGGGAAAGCCTGCACCTGCTGGAAAGTCCTTGCTCTCCTACACATATATCATACATTTAATGAGGAAAATCTGTGCCGCAAAATTTGTAAGCAATTATTTGCGGCACAAAGAACACTCCAAAAACAATCATCAATCTCTGTCTGCGACTGTTAAAAGCACATGCATTTAAATTAGACATTTAAGCCAGTATACTTCGCACCAAAAAAAACCAAGATACACCCACCAAAAAGTATAGAGGAAAAATAAAGCTAAGGGAATGTTTAAACTAAAGGTACCCTCTAAAATATAAAAAAAAACGGGGAAATTAATAACTTCTCTATGTTTAAAAAAGTATCTAAATACTATTTAAAAAAAAAAACAAGAAAGCAAAGCTAACTTCGGGCGGAGCCGAAGTTGATATACCCTTGCAGCTAAACCGGATATATATCGCAAACATCGGATATAGTTGGCCGATCCTTATGATTACATCATAATAAAACCAATTAATTACAATAAAAAATCTAAAAAAAAGTCCCAAGCTTCTATCGTCAAAAACACGAAAGTTGGGTCATTTTCGATCGTTCAGTTATATGGCAGCTATAGGATATAGTTGACCGATCCTTATAAAATTTGGCACGTCGTATTATTTTGCCAAAAATAGCTTTTGTGTCAAATTTGAACTCTCTAACTCTAAAAACACCAAAGTTATACCATTTCCGATCAATCAGTTATATGGCAGCTATAGGATATAGTCGGCCGATCCGGGCCGTTCCGACTTATATACTGCGTGCAAAGGATAGAAGGGTGTGTGCAAAGTTTCAAGACGATAGCTTTAAAACTGAGAGACTAGTTCGCTAAGAAACAGACAGACAGACGGACAGACGGACATGCTCATATCAACTCAGGAGGTGATCCTGATCAAGAATATATATACTTTATAGGGTCGGAGATGTCTCCTTCACTGCGTTGCACACTTTTGACCAAAATTATAATACCCTCTGCAAGGGTATAAAAAGAGACGATGTTGGTAAATTGTTAGTTACTCACACAACTGAACATGTCGGCAGCTAGACTCTTTTTGCACCTTAAAATATAAGCAAATACACTAAATAACAAGAAAGCAAAGCTTACTTCGGGCGGAGCCGAAGTTGATATACCCTTGCAGCTAAACCGGATATATATCGCAAACATCGGATATAGTTGGCCGATCCTTATGATTACATCATAATAAAACCAATTAATTACAATAAAAATCTAAAAAAAAGTCCCAAGCTTCTATCTTCAAAAATATGAAAGTTCATATTTCTACCAAAAACCATTTCCGATCGTACAGTTATATGTCAGCTATAAGATATAGTCAACCGATCGTTATGAAATTTGGTAGATCGGATTAACTGACCAAAAATAGAATGTGTACCAAGTTCCAGTTTTCTATCTTCAAAAACACGAAAGTTGGGTCATTTCCGATCGTTCAGTTATATGGCAGCTATAGGATATAGTCGGCCGATCCTAATGAAATTTTGTAGGTCGGATTAACTGACCAAAAATATAATCTGTACCAAGTTCCAGCTTTCTATCTTTAAAAACACGAAAGTTGGGTCATTTCCGATCGTTCAGTTATATGGCAGCTATAGGATATAGTCAGCCGATCCTTATGAAATTTGGCATGTCGTAATGGTTTGCCAAAAATAGCTCTCATGTCAAATTTGAACTCTCTAACTCTAAAAACACCAAAGTTATACCATTTCCGATCAATCAGTTATATTGCAGCTATAGGATATAGTCGGCCGATCCGGGCCGTTCCGACTTATATACTGCGTGCAAAGGATAGAAGGGTGTGTGCAAAGTTTCAAGACGATAGCTTTAAAACTGAGAGACTAGTTCGCGTAGAAACAGACAGACAGACGGACAGACAGACGGACAGACGGACAGACGGACAGACGGACAGACGGACAGACGGACAGACGGACATGCTCATATCAACTCAGGAGGTGATCCTGATCAAGAATATATATACTTTATAGGGTCGGAGATGTCTCCTTCACTGCGTTGCACACTTTTGACCAAAATTATAATACCCTCTGCAAGGGTATAAAAACTACTTTAAAACATTAAAAATAAAACCAGAATACCTCAAAACCATATGAAATCAATGGGTACACAAGAGAAGTGTCAAAAGCAAAAGCTGAACAGTTGCTTCGTCCCGGAAATGCTTAATAGGATTTTTACAATTTTTACTATTTTCCTGTGGCAGCTACTGGTTACCAGTCGATTCGCCCTTTCCTATCACTCTCCCATGCTTTCTCCTCTGTACATTTTTTTGTAATTCACCAAATATTTTGCCTTTCATAGAAAAAGGGGTTAGAAAAATACCAGCAGACCACACCCCGGTGTCGCGATGGAAATTCTTTTACACTTTTGTTTTCCCTTTTCCTTGGCTTTTGTTACACACAGGATATGGTTATTCTTGTTCCTGTTGTTAGGGTTTTATGCACCGCATAACATTAAAATTCAGATTTTGATTGATCATCCTGGTTGAGGCGAGTTAAGGAGTGTGAGTCCCTGGTGAAGGATATATTGGGTATGAAGCTGTGGTAGGAGTTGTGGGCAAACTTTAAAGGCTTGATTGCAAACGATATGTTTTTAAAATTGTTCTTAAATTGTTTTACAATGTTGTAAATGGTCTAACAAGTTAAAAGCTTAAATATGCATTTTAGCGAGTTTTATAGGAAGTATTTCCTTTAACTTTGAAAAGATTAAAACAAATCTGAAGTGCCTTTGCATTAATAGTTGATGTCTTAAAAATTAAATATTCTATATGCAAATTGTAGTTGCTTTAAGGATGTACTGTTAAACCGTCACGCTAACTAAACTTTCCCAGGAAAATTACAAACATTCCTCCACATCCTGTCTCTCCTGCAAAATTTTGCCATCCATCCAACCCGATCCGAAATGCAGTTAAATATTCATGAAAGGGAACGTTATATGTTGCCGGCTGAAAAAATTCGATTAACAACAAATGCATATTGATGGAATAATTGAGCAATTCTAATGAACCACAATAGCAGCAGAGACTTCTAAAAAAAAGCAAAACAAATTGCAATTGAAGTTTTTCCAAGGAACCACAATATTTGCATTTGATTGACAACAAAGTTAATTGAGTGTGAGCCAATCATTTGCATAGAGCTGGGCAAAAATAAACATTTATTATATTTAAGTATTATTTTTTTTCTTGTATCGTTACTTTGGGTAACATTACCCTTTGGGTGGTTTTCCAGGGGGGTACAATCATTAATTCCCCTGTCAGGGCTGAGGTGAGGTGACTGATGATGGGGTGTTGAAGGTGAGAGATCTCCCAGGCCCAAATGTCATTTCAATGAATTTATAATTGGGAATTATGTGAATTTTTTCTCTACGACGTGATTTGACTTTTTTTCGCCGTTTGCTAGTGAAATTTACATATTTTTTCGCTCTCTTTGGCAGATCCTTTGTGTGTGTATGTGATTTAATTAATGATTTTATGCAAAGTTCGTCTCGGAGTCTTTAGTATTTTGCATACATGTGTTGGCAGCTCCCAGCCGATCATTAATCAGGTCGTCTAAGTAGCTGCTTGAACTCATTAACCCTTTTGTTCACTCCGTCAGCCCAGCGAATTGGCAACAAAAGTTGTGTCTTATATAAATATTTGTATTGCCGCCAACCATGAGAACCGAATTTTCCTGCAACGCAATAAGAGGATACAAAAAAAGAATCCAAAAAATCAGATACATATCCTTATTAATGATCTTGTTGATGT